ATGTTGCCGCAGCTAGAGCGCGCCGCCTTCGTACGGTGTCTTGATTGGGTCACCCTTCATCTTCTGCCCCGTAGGCTCTTCCCTCTCATTACCCCGTAGGGCGCTGCACGGTCAAGCCGTGACCTCTCCCCAAAAAGGGATAACGGAGTCCGCAGTGCGCGAAGCACTTGCAGGACCCTTTACGTCGTACGACGCGAGAAGAGGTGCCATGCTTGCTCGACTAACAAAGGTATCAGCTCCCTTGCAGGACTAAGCAGGGTCCCCTCAAGCTCAACAGTGTAGTGAGTACAATGCTGACGACTTGTGCTGAAGGTGTTGCCGACGTACGACAACACTTGCGACTCTAGGCCACGAGTTGTAAGCCATGATTGCTCAACTAACGAAAGTGCCAAATCCTTCGCGGGACTAATCATGGTTCTTACAGAACTCTAGAATATTTCGGAGCCCAGCTTTTGGCTGCTGAATCTCATTGCGTGGTCGCTTTCACGACGAGTCGAGTCCAGGTCATGACATATTCATGTATTGTAAAACTGTGGAGACAATGTGCAATAAAACGATGAAAAATGTGAAGAAATTGTGTAGAGAAAGAAAGGGATTCAAACAAGTTTTCGTACAACACTCATCAGGAATCTTCGTTGTACTAAAGGACACTGAAAACAAAATTGAACTATTATAGAAAATCTAAGTTACAGAAATAACACTAAGAACAACAGCAGTGAAATTTACAAGTGTGAATTTTAACAATGAAAGCGAGAGCAATAACGAATGTGTGTACTAACACTAAACTTGCAACTGAAAAATGAACAAAGAAGAGAAAGAAAGAAGGAAGGACAAAGTGATAACAAATAACAGCAGTACATTACACCTAGAACATTAACGGCCAAGCTTGGCCGCACCAAACATGACACTTTACTTGAACAATTTCAACCCAATTATACTATCTTTCTGTACACACAAATTAGGCTTATACAGACGCTGACAGATGGCTTCCAAAACCTTTAACTGTAGTCCATAACCATGACGACCACGGCACAATACAGTGAATGAAGAGTCGGAATACGAATTGCAACAATCAGGACTAGCCAACAGATGATTGTACACTGAAGACTTGCTACCACGAAACCTACGCACAACGCTAACATTCTCACCGGCACTCTCACGATCACTACAGTCGTCGCTCTCCGACTCATTGCTCCCTTCACAACAATGGGACGGACGGTGAAGGGAGCAATGAGTCGGAGAGCGACGACTGTAGTGATCGTGAGAGTGCCGGTGAGAATGTTAGCGTTGTGCGTAGGTTTCGTGGTAGCAAATCTTCAGTGTACAATCATCTGTTGGCTAGTCCTGATTGTTGCAATTCGTATTCCGACTCTTCATTCACTGTATTGTGCCGTGGTCGTCATGGTTATGGACTACAGTTAAAGGTTTTGGAAGCCATCTGTCAGCGTCTGTATAAGCCTAATTTGTGTGTACAGAAAGATAGTATAATTGGGTTGAAATTGTTCAAGTAAAGTGTCATGTTTGGTGCGGCCAAGCTTGGCCGTTAATGTTCTAGGTGTAATGTACTGCTGTTATTTGTTATCACTTTGTCCTTCCTTCTTTCTTTCTCTTCTTTGTTCACTTTTCAGTTGCAAGTTTAGTGTTAGTACACACATTCGTTATTGCTCTCGCTTTCATTGTTAAAATTCACACTTGTAAATTTCACTGCTGTTGTTCTTAGTGTTATTTCTCTAACTTAGATTTTCTATAATAATATTTTAAAATTATTTTTTAATATTGCATGTAGTCGACGAGGAGACAACTTTGCGGTTCGTGTCAGGCTCAGTCAAACTGAGTGTCCGCACCCGTAGGAATATCACTACCCTCGAGGATCAATGTGCAAATGCAGCTCCTAAAACGATGACAGGTAAGTAGATCAGACCCACCACCAAGGGGTTAAAGGTGTACTGTAGTTTTGTCCCTGACAGGTGGTTTTCTTGTGTCACTGGGCTGTGTGTTTTCCTGCAGCACACTTTGGAAGCGCTCTCCGAGATGTACGAGACGCTGAGCGAGAAAGACCTGTGGTCAGCCCTGTGGCAGAAGACGTGTCGGTCAGTTGCATTCTGTTGTGATTGTCCACTATTGGACGTGTGATGCAGGGGTGTCACAAGACAGTGGGGGAGTGGTGTGACCGGGGGTACGGGGATGCCCCGGGGGTTGTGATATGACCGGGGTACGGGGATGTCCCGGGGAGTGGTACGACCGGGGGTACGGGGATGCCCTGGGGGAGTGGTGCGGCCGGGGTACGGGGATGCCCCGGGGGAGTGATACGACTGGGGGTGCAGGGATGCCCATGGTGGAGTGGTACGACCGGGGGAGCGGGGATGCCCCGGCCAACAGCTTGGCATTGCTTTTTTGGATGAATTTGGTGGACCATCCTGGAGGAAAAGTGATACGACGATGGTCATACTGGTGGTACCGTGTGTGACGCCCCTGTGAAGTTTGAATGTCCAGTAGCGGGCAAGTGCAAAAGTTCTAGCATATCCTAAGTGTCTTCCTTTGTCGGTGCTATTCTTTATCTAGTGGGATGCGAGTGCATGGATTTGTCTGTGCATAGCAACGCTCCGTGTCACCATGCTCACTATCGCTCTGCCCCCCCCCCCTCCCACACACATACTTCTGTGTGTGTGTGTGTGTGTGTGTGTGTGCATGTGTGTGTATGTGTGTATGTATGTTTGTGCGTCTGTGTGTTCTCAGATATCCAGAGACTCAACAGGCAATGGCATATCAACAGCAGGGTTGCTATGAGCAGGCTCAAGGAATCTATGAGAAGGTGTGTAGGCAATGTGTGTGTGCGTACGTACGTGCGTGCGTGTGTGTCTGTGTGTGCGTACGTACGTGCGTGCGTGTGTGTCTGTGTCCGTGAGTGTGTGGGTGAATGTGTGTATGCATTTGTGCATACGTGTGTGTGTGTGTGTGTGTGTGTGTGTGTGTGTGTGTGTGTGTGTGTGTGTGTGTGTGTGTGTGTGTCGCTTCTCGTTGAGATCTGAACACATTGATTTTCACTGGGTACTTATTTGGGTAAGAAATTGTACTATTGAGTATTTATCAATCAGTTCTTGTTGCTGGGTCTGCATTCATGTGTGTGCATTCATGTATGCGTGTGTGTGTGTGTGTGTGTGTGTGTGTGTGTGTCTGTGTGTGTGTGTGTGTGTGTGTGTGTGTGTGTGTGTGTGTGTGTGTGTGTGTGCGTGTGTGTGTGTGTGCGTGTGCGTGCGTGCATAGATGGCGAGCAAGGCCCAGGAGGACTTTGCGACAAAGCCGGCATCTCCGCTGCACACATGTGAACTGAAGCTCTGGGAAAACCAGTGGATCAAGTAAGCCTGACAGCTTGATATTATTATTATTATTATTATTATTATTAACTGGTTTGAGGGAAAGAGACAAACGGGAAAAGTCTGAAGAAAAAATTGACTGTCACCACCAGGACTCGAACCAGGGACCTTCGCTTGTAGCCAGCGATGCTCTAACCACTGAGCTATGGTGTAGTCGTCATCCCAGCAGAGGCCGTTCAACATTTTCTTCAGACTTCGTAACTCACACTTCCTATGAATCCACACAGGCGGGTGAGACGCAGCCCTCACTGTAACCCACACACTTCACGTACAAACTAGCACGCGGGGAGCCCCAAGTCATAAAATATTAACTGGTTTGAGGGAAAGAGACAAACGGGAAAAGTCTGAAGAAAAAATTGACTGTCACCACCAGGACTCGAACCAGGGACCTTCGCTTGTAGCCAGCGATGCTCTAACCACTGAGCTATGGTGTAGTCGTCATCCCAGCAGAGGCCGTTCAACATTTTCTTCAGACTTCGTAACTCACACTTCCTATGAATCCACACAGGCGCGGGTGAGACGCAGCCCTCACTGTAACCCACACACTTCACGTACAAACTAGCACGCGGGGAGCCCCAAGTCATAAAATATTATTATTATTATTATTATTATTTACGTCATGTGTGTTAGGAAATTAGAGGCCACATGCCTCGTACTGCTCTTTTCACTCCGAAACTCAACACTTGCAAGCCAGGTACGAAAGAAAGAAAAAATCATAAGTCACACCACCGGGACTCGAACCAGGGACCTTTCTATTCGCGAGCAATGCTCTAACCAACTGAGCTACGGTATGACTCTTATCAACCACGTGTGTTGTTGAAAGAAATATCGTACAAATCCGAAAGGGCTGCGCATGACCACTCCTTGATAGACATGGCGGAGAGAGAGAGAGAGAGAGAGAGAGAGAGAGAGAGAGAGAGAGAGAGAGAGAGAGAGAGAGAGAGAGAGAGAGAGAGAGAGAGAGAGAGAGAGAGGGAGAGAGAGAGAGAGAGAGAGAGAGAGAGAGAGAGAGAGAGAGAGAGAGAGAGAGAGAGAGAGAGAGAGAGAGAGAGAGAGAGAGAGAGAGAGAGAGCAGAAACCTGCCGAACTTCAAAAAAAAAGACAATGGCAAACTTTCCCCACACACTACGCAGGCATGGGTGGTGTCAGCGGTTCTGCCGTCCACAGCGGGAACTTGAGCCAGTGACATCATCTTTTTTTGTGCTAGATGTAGGCCAGCAGAAGTCATGCATGCTTGAGGATGAAGATGAATCATTCCTATGGCAGTCAAACGGTTTTAAAAGCTCTTCTTGTGCTGTGCTGTGCTGTACTGTACTGTACTGTACTGTGCTGTGCTGTACTGTACTGTACTGTACTGTGCTGTGCTGTACTGTACTGTACTGTACTGTACTGTGCATCTTGTTGCCTAGGCGATGTGTTGCGGTGCTTCCCGGAAATGACCATTGCAAATCTCAATCACTTCAACGTCACTGTAGTTGTGTTTTGATTCTCCCACACTTTCATCCACAACATTCTTGCCTCTGCTGCTGCTGCTGCTGCCGCTGCTGCTGCTGCTGTTTGCTGCTGCTGCCGCTGCTGCTGCTGCTGCTGTTTGCTGCTGTTTGCTGCTGCTGCTGATGCTGATGCTGGTGCTGCTGCTGCTGCTGCTGCTGATGCCGCTGCTGTTTGCTGCTGCTGCTGCCGCTGCTGTTTGCTGCTGATGCTGCTGCTGCTGCTGTTGCTGCTGCTGCTGCTGTTTGCTGCTGCTGCTGCTGCTGCTGCTGATGCTGATGCTGGTGCTGATACTGGTGCTGATGCTGGTGCTGGTGCTGATGCTGATGCTGCTGTTGGTGTTGTGTGCATAGGTGTTCCAAAGAGCTGGGCCTGTGGAGTCTGTTGCTGAAACTCGGCCAGGCGTCTAAGGCAGAGGACCATCCGTACATCGGTAAGACCTTGGCACTGGTGATGGACACTGAATATTAGTACCCACTTATGCCTTGGCCTCAATACGAGTCAAGGTGGATGCTGGATGCAGCATCAAGCTACCTGCAAATCAACACACTGTGCACTGGATTTTGTGTTTTGACTTCGCAACATGATGTTACATCCAACACGATCATAGCCCAGTAAATATGTTAGTGAACGGTGCGGGGGGGGGGGGGGGGGAGCTCATATGTATTCATGTGTTTCTGTCCTTGTGTTATAATTATGTCTTTGTGTGTGTGTGTGTGTGTCTGTGTGTGTCTGTGTGTCTGTGTGTCTGTGTCTGTGTGTGTGTGTTTGTGTTGTGTAGTGATGGAGTCGGCATGGCGACATCCTGACTGGTTAGCTTTCAAGGAATCCTTGGCCATGGTAGGTCGCATGCACACTCACAGTAACATATGGTGAAACCTGGCTAAGACGACCGCTCATGGGACCTTACAGTGAGACCTGGCTAAGACGACCGCTCGAGGGACCTTCAAATGTGGTCCCCGTGTACAGGTGGTCTCCTTATCCAGGGTCATTTGACTGGAAATAACACCCATTGGTCGTTGGGTGGTGTACGTATGTGCGTGTGTGTGCGTGCGCGTGTGTGTGTGCGTGTGTGTGCGTGTGTGTGTGTGTGTGTGTGTGCGTGTGTGTGTTCAGGTTGAGAGGTGTTGTCCAGACTACCTGTGTCCCCGTTACAACACCTACCGTGGTATTCTGGCCATTGGGCACAATGAAGAGAACTCACACACAAAGGTTAGTTCACCTGCACATCAAGCGCTTGCTACTGCTGCTGTTGCCTACTCTCCTCTTGGCTTTCTCTCCGCATTGCCTTCATTCTGCCTGGTTCTTTTTTCTCGTCTTGCCTCCCATTCTCCCACATCTTGTCCTCAGTGTCGTAGCTTATCCGCTCATGTAGATGTGTGTTTGAAACAGTGTGACCTGGGGGTGTTTTGGATAGCGTGAGGTACAACACTAGCGGCTATTGCTGTTTTGTTGCCCTGGTTTGGATTCCTATTAGGCATTGTGAACAACTGTGTACTCTCACTGTTTGTATGCTGACTAGTGGGTGGGTGTGTGTGCGTGTGTGCGTGCGCGTGTGTGCGTGCGCGTGTGTGCGTGTGCGCGCGTGTGTGTGTGTGTGTGTGTGTGTGTGTGTGTGTGTGTGTGTGTGTGTGTGTGTGTGTGTGTGTGTGTGTGTGTGTGTGTGTGCGTGTGTGTACATGGTGTGTGTGTGTGTGTGTGCGTGTGTGTGCGCGTGTGTTTGATTGTGCTCACACACACACGCATGCAACCGTGTGCATTCTCAGGTGGATCGGCTCGTAGAGACGAGTTTCCATCAGATCTCCAACCTGTGGCGCAATCTTCCTCACATTGTCAGTCTCCAGCATGTCCCCCTGTTACAGGTAAGCCCCTCTCGCTGTGCTCCTCAACAGGGTACAGTGCAATGACAGTGTTACATAGTATGACATACCCCTAAGGGGCTGCACAAATCTCTACTTTAGACCCCGGCTACTCTACAGTCTACTGTCAATAAGTCACGCACCCAATCTTGAAGACCAAAATGAGTGACTAATGGTGAGCACATGACTTACATACCTAGTGTATACACAATCTGTGGACAGAACTGTTTCGTCCTTTGTGGACTCACCAGCGCAGCACAGAGAATATGAGGCCGAACCTGATAGCAATGAAAAATAAATTTTCCAAAGCCAGATTTAAACCAGGCCCGAACGTACCTTGCCAGTGGGCTCAAACTGACAAGTCAGTGAGCTCTTGGGCTGCGCTACATGCTGAACCTCTTTTTCATTCGAATTTTCGGGCTGATTTTCTTTTTGCCATTCGAATAATCAAATCGAAAATTCGATTTGCTGATGCTCAGTATTGCTGATGATGGTGATGAGTAGCTTGAGAATTGTAGTTTTTTTCTTTCCCTGATAAGCTTCCTGTCCCCAAGAAAGTTATTTTAGTCCTTATAATACAACCCAAACGTGAAGGAAATGATGTTTGTTATATAGCGTATGTTGTGTTGCCGGCCGACGTGGTTGTGTCATGTGGTACTCCCAGTACCAGGCTGCCTTGCTGCTAAAATAATTATGATCTAGTCCTGAAACGAGTATGCCAAACAGTCACTCTTCTTCTCTCGGCAAGAGATTTACATCCCATGATCTGTTGAACGGTCTGCTGGGATGACGGCTACACCATGGCTCAGTGGTTAGAGCATTGCTGGCTACACGCGAGGGAGGGTCCCTGGTTCGAGTCCTGGTGGTGACAGTCAATTTTTTCTTCAGACTTTTCCCGTTTATGTCTTTCCCTGAAACCAGTGAATATGTTATAAAAATTATCCTGGGTACTACTTCGAAGTACTTGCAAGTATATGCTGATGTTTTGAATCTGGTGCTATCCTCGTATCTCGTCCTATCTTTATCTTATCCCTGTGATTCATGACTGTACTGGTAGAAGTCCTGTTGCCAGAAGTCGACACAACATATATCTTGGTCTGCAGGGATTTGATTTAAAACTGCGCATACAAGAGTGGCCGCCGTACACCATCCATGATCTCCTCATTTCTCACCGTGTGCTTGACCATATGCTGAGCTTGGACTGTGTGTGGTTGTGTGTCTCGCTCTGTCACTGTGTTGTCACTGTGTTTCGTTTCTCCAGCAAATGCAGCTAGTCTACGAACTGCAGGAAGCTAATCAGCTGCAGATCTGCGTTGAGCAGATCCAGGCGTCCACCAATCGATCCAACACAAGTCTGCACGATGTGAAGAACTTCACGAAACTCTGGAGGTACGTGTATACCCCCCCCCCCCTTTAGTTTCGTGTATCAAAGCCGGGCGTATTCCTGTAGAAGCCTATGTCACAGCTAGGCTTCTACTCATATGAGGCTACTATTCAAAATTTCAAACCAGGTATTTCTATGGGTGTCAACACTAAAATCAGGCTTATGGGCTGACCACGGCTGTTTTCAGCACGACATCTATAAAGATGGCGACGACCTGTAGCAACGGCCTTGGATACGGGACGCGCGTATACCGCGTGGGCACGCGATTGAGTTTTCATGCACGAGTGATTGTGGAAATTCAAATTATTTGGTTGCTGCGCTGAAGCGCATGAGGAGAAATGAGGAGAAAGTTTCTTTCTTTCGTCTTCATCTGAGACGGCACGCTTAGAACACCCATTCCATCACGCGTGCAATGATGGACCCCTTTCCCACTCCGAAGAGCAACAACGAAATAATAAGTAAAACAGTTATTTATCGGCCTATTTCTCCTTGCAATGATTCGAATTAATATTAGACCTGACGCGACGATCTTTTCTCCTCTTAGCAGAAGGCATTTCGTTCTGTAACTTGGGGATAGTCCTCAAGTAGTGCTGGCGAGTGATGGAGAGCAGTCGTCGAAGTGGACATGCAGCGCTGCATTTCTTGTCCAAAGTGTTGAACGCTGCATGGAGAGCCTCGCCACCTTGCTCACACAGAAGACTCAGTCCACAGCCAAAGTGGGTCATCTGTGGCACGACATGCTGCTCCAGCAGGTGTAACTTGGGAGTGATGTTCCCCAGATGGCGCTTCACGATCTGCTCTCTCACCAAGGTCATAAAGCTCTGGATGTGGCATTGAAGCTGGTGGAGCTGGTCTTCATTTACAGCTGAGGCAAGGTTGTAGACTGCACGACACTTCGCAAAGGTGGTGAAGAGTGCTGTGTATCGTGCAGCCAAGGAAGCAGCCATGTCTGTGACGGGGTGGTCGGCACCAAGTTCGTACTTCTCCAGAGCCTTGGAAGGAGCCTGGACAAGCTTGTGGACCAAGGCAAAGTTGCCATCTTTGTCGGGACTCAACATACGGTGAACGTGGTTGCCGACAAAGGTTCCGCCATGGTACTGTTGCCGTTTGATGTTGACAGTCTGTAGTGTGTCGTCGTAGGATGAAAGGCATGGCCCATCTGTCAAAGTCTTGACACTGTCGATGTGACCTTTGAGCACATCAAGCTCTGCTTTGATTTGTTTCTGCTGTTCAGATAGCTGTCTGTGCTGTAGCTGTAGCTGGCCTATCACTACTTGTATTCTCTGCACCTCAGTACCTGCTGCTTGTTGAAGGTGCATGGCATTGAACGTGAGCAGTTGCATCATGTCATCCAACTTAGTATCAATGGTAGCTAGCTCTAGTTCCTTAGACTTCCTGTCACTGTTCATCTTAACTAGATCATTAAAGGTACGACCATTCAGATCACAGTTAATGTCAGGCATGTGGTTGGCTAGTGCGACGTCAAGGGATTGGGTTTCCTGTAACATGCATTCAAATAGGTATGGGAATATCCCAAGATCCAAATGCAATGAGGGGATGCATGCATCCTCAATTGGCACGGGCAGAATGCATGGCCTCACAGCATTAAAGTATTTCTTTGCATTTGAAGCAACACCCCCACTCTCAAGAAACTCCTTGTGATTCTGTGCAAGTGTGGTCAGAGTCCGGGGCAGTACAGGCTGAGTCCTAGCTGCAGGTGACTGCTGGAAGTCACGCTTTGCAGTGTGGCAGTGCAAGCAAGGGAACACACCACTGCTACCGGAAAGACCGTAGTTGTGCGTCTGGAACTCATAGTCTCCAAACAACACAACCTTCACCTTGTACGACATGAATGTCATGGTGCTCAGCTCACGAATCTGTGCCTGAAAGGGCTGAAGTGCAGTGGCCATGTTGGCTGGTGAATCTTTTGCTGCAAACAAAAGAAAGGGAACGGTGTTCTCAAGTGCATTAGGGTGGACATGGTTGGCGATTTGGAAAGCCATCTTGAAGGATTTACCTCCATGGTCACCACCAATCTTGACAATGATGGTGTCCTTGGGGACTGCTCCATCATGCCAGGTCAACTGTCCAGCCTCATGCATGGCAGAAAGGTAGTGGGTGACAAGGCCGACAAGATCTAAAATGGCAACCATGGCACACAGGGTGATGTTCCCAGCCTTGTCTGTCATTGGGACCTTCTCTGCTAGAAACTCAAAAGGGAGCTCTGATCGGATGTCTGCCCTCATCAACCTCTCTGACTGCAAAAAGATACCAAACTCCGTCAACCATACCCTCAAGTTCCTCAGTGCATACCACGTCAGATGCAGGTCTGCCTTCAGTGCTAGAGCAGACACTTCCCCGGTGCAAAGTAGACCTGCATCCGTCAAAAGGCTGTCCCTGTCTGATGTAGCCATGACTTTGAGGTCATGCTGAAGTTGCTCTTGGGCACTACCAGAACTGCTGGCAACAGTAGTTGCCAAAGATTTCAGCTCACTACCCCTGCGCTCCAAAGTTCGAGTGGTCACATCTGATGCCTCCTTCTCACCCTTCGTTACCCTCTTCCATGTCTGTGGCCTACCCCGAGAACCGGACCTCACTTCTAATGTCCCACCTTCAGACATGCAGCCTACCAAGTGTGAAAGCAGTGCCGTTGATGTTGCGCCACGTGTGTGCTGTGGTGTGGTTAAAAGCACGTCAGATACCGAAAAGGAACCCGTGACAACTGTAGGGTGGGGTTCAAGACTGTTACCAGGGTTATGTGAACATTCCCGGACATGATCAACCAAGGATGCCAAGGACAAGACCTGTCGACACCCTACAAGGGGGGATTCCCTGAAATCACAGTGCACCAGCATTGCCGCTAGAGCATGGCCTACAAAGGGGTGCGGTGATGTAAGCTGTGACGCCATCAGGGCTGACCGGCAGTATGGACATTTGGTAGACCCCTGGAGCCACTGGTAGATGCATGGCAAGCAAAATACCTGCTTGCAACAAGGTGCCTCTATAGCTGGATCGGTAACTAATCTGCAGATAGGGCATGCAGCATAACTGACATCGTGTGTGAAACGGCTTCCATCCAGTGCAATACCAGCTTGGTAAGGAGGAGTGGCTTTCTTCTGTACTTCAGTTATGTCTAGATCTACACCACTCTGGTCTTCGATGTCTACGTCTACGTCTGTACTTGTCTGTGTGCCTGCTTGTTTTTCATGACTTGATTGTGGATTGACGGTTTGATCCTGGGTAGCCTGTGGACATTCACTAGCATCATCACACTTATCAATCAGTCTTGGGGTGGTGTCCTTGGTGGCTGCTCTGCCAGGACGACTCAGGGTGTCACAGACAGAACAACCAGTACGTTTGTGAGCCACCCACTCTATGCTACTACTACCACAACCACCACCACGAGTCACAAACGAGCTAGACGCCTTACTGTACCTATCTAGCACTTTCTTACATGTTCTGCAGAAAAACTCAGGGTGTATGCCAGGCTGGTCATTCAATACATTGATTTTGAAGCATGCTTGAATCTCACCGGCACGTTCGGCAACGGAATAACGGGTGGATCGGTCCTGTTTCGTAAATTTTCCACCACTAATCCTGCACACCTGCTCCAGCTTCTTGATGTGGCCCTCCATAGCCAAGGAAGTTCGAGGGCCGTGGCCCGCGCGAAAACCACTGCGGCCCAAGCTGCGAATGTGTGGGAAATGTCGACCAAGGACAAACGAGTGAATAGAAAATGAAGACCAGCTCCAGACAATTAAACGAAAGAAGGTAAGCGCTCCACAAGCAGGGCGAGATCCACCAAAGGAGTAATGGACGACTCGTACCGGATCGTAGAAGAAGGACACAGAGAAAGAAAGCCAGCTTCAAAATTTCTCTGTCGATTTTGTTTCTTCTTGCACGAGGAGAAAGCTGCTTTTCGGTGGAAGCATTTTGCTTGCTTTTCGCGACCCAGAGAGCCAGCCACGAGCAGCAAATAAGCAGCGCAGATGAACCAAACCAGTATTTTTGAGTGTTTCAAATTTTGAATACAAGCCACGCCGTTGCGGCCGCGTGGTGCCGCGTACGCGATCGCCAGGGAGACGCGCGATCGCGGCCATCTTTTGAAATGTCGCAGTATCCAAGGCGTAGGTAGGACAGCCGTGTGACGGTGTATCTTGAAAAAATCATACCATTGTGAAGGGCGAAAAAAAAGAAGGAAAAAACTAGCGCCCAACGTGGGGCTCGAACCCACGACCCTGAGATTAAGAGTCTCATGCTCTACCGACTGAGCTAGCCGGGCTGCCTATGAGTTTATTGTATTGCACTTCCACACCTACCTGTTTGCTTTTCAGTTGTGACCAGTGTTGATTGTCTACACAGAGTTTGGGAATTTCAGGGGTTGTCGGGTGTTGGGCGGTTCAATAGCCAATTGAGTCATCTTTCCAAGATTCCTTTTGAGTCTCTCTCCCCTCACCCGAGGAGACCCACACGACCAGTGTTGGCAGTGAGCAAGTGCAAGTGTGTCTGTGTGTCTGTGCACTGGTATTGGTGTGTGTTTGTCTGTGTGTCTGTGTGTCTGTGTGTGTATGTGTGTGTGTGTGTGTGTGTGTGTGTGTGTGTGTGTGTGTGTGTGTGTGTGTGTGTGTGTGTGTGTGTGTGTGTGTGTGTGTGTGTGTTACTGACGTGTTGCTGTCTTCCCAGGCAACGCCAGCCCAACATCTGGGATGACATGAGCCACTGGAGCGATGTAATTATCTTCAGACAGCACCAGTATCGCATGCTGCAGACGGCGTTTGACACATTCTCCGCCAACCAGCAGCCTGCTGACCGGGTAAGCGGGCAGGAACCCCGTTAGAGGTCGCTGCTCTGTGAACATGTGACTGCAGGGAGAGGGAGATGGGGGGGGGGGCAGGGGCAGAGGCAGGGGGGCAGGGGCAGAGGGGGGGGGGGGGGCAGGGGCAGGTTCTTGTTATGAAACGCAGTGCTTTACTAGCGTGGACAGAACTTGAAACTCTGTCTGGACAGTTCTGATAGTGGACTTTCACACTCTGGAGAGGGAAGTGGGGGGGGGGGGGGGGGGGGCATTGTACTCTTGGTTTTCTGTACGTACTGGCTGGAGAATACAGCCTCTTGAATAGAATACCCTAAGCGATACGCAGTCCCAGCACTGCACACACTGTTCTGTGCATTCAAACGCGGCACTACTTTATTCATGAGGTGGAGTTTCGCTGGCCAGCGCCTTTAAAAAGAGGTACAGTCAGACCTTGCTTAGCCGCACACATCCGTTTGCCACAAAAAATCCGGATAATCAAACACACGTACTGTACACATGCATGCCATATGCTGTAAATCAGTAACCAACGATTTTCTTCCGGATGGCAAGGGATCCGGA